AGGTGGGTGGCAAACCTGCCTAAAATATGAAGTTTTTTCTTTCACATCAGTGTGTGTGTGTTATAAGTTGTTTATTTCTCAGATTTTCCTTATATAGTGAAGTATGTAAGGTCAGTTGTACAAAACCAACTCCTAAAGATTACATCTAGGAAAAAGTCTCAACACTTACAATATGTTTCTGTTTGAGGCCAAATACTCCTTTGGAAAATGGTACCTAATTACAATGACTATTTCTCAACTATTCTGATGATTTTAAACTACCATAACTCAAGCTTTCTTAGGTGTTGAACTAATTCTTTTGTTTCTTTTCAATCTCAACCCCAATAAAGAAGTTTTAAACACAGAATGAGAAATTTCCCCCTGTGAAACATGTGAGAATTAGTTGCTGACTTGATGACCCATTCCCCTGCAAAACATCGCTCTTGTTTCCTACAAAGGGCATGTCCTCACATCATCCCAATACTGACTAAAATTTGTAAATTATCATTTATGCATTACCACCCCATCGTCACACCCTATCTCAGTTACAACTTCAACAAAAGTCCTTATTTGTGCTTTCTAGCAATAGATTCCAGCTCAGAATCACACCTTGCTGTTAGCTGCCATGTGTCTCTATTCTTCACTCTGAAACAGCTTCAGTCTCCTGATATTTATGGCCCTGAAACCTACAAGATTTCCAGAACAATTGTGTTTAATAGATTAGAATCTGAGTACACATTTAGACAACTTTGAAAGAGGTACTGTATTCTACTTTGCATCCTATCAGACACAATTTTTATTTCTCTGTTACAGAGGATTTTCATTCTGATCATTTAATTAATTGGTATGTGCCAAGCTTCTCCACAGTCAATTTGTTCTTTTTCCTTTTTATTAACACAAATGTTATGGGAAGTTACTTTGAAACTATAGTATCTTGTGTCACATCAAATTTTCAATTGATTCACTTACTTTCAATGAGTAAACAGTCACCAAATCCTCTATCATTCAATGAAGACTAATATATGAGCATCATTATCACTATTTATTTTGATGCTCAATTTGTACCATGGAAGTCCCTTCACCTTGGTTTCTATATTCCATTGACAGGACCCACACACAAATTTATACTTATACATCTATTTATATAGATATACATGACAGGTAGTTATTTAAAATCATGAATTTGCCCTAATGCTGAAAACTGTACAAGATTTTTCTTTTATTGCCTAGAAGAACTGGAGTGTAGACCAGAGGTGGGGAGGGGGGAGGATAAGAGGATCCACCAGTGACAGAGTGGGGAGCAGAACAGGCAGATTTGTTGAAATACACTGCTAAGGGGAGGAGCAGGCAAGACAGGAGAGGTCTTGCTGTGCCATATGTGGGTTAGTTCCCTGGCTGGGGATCAAACTCAGGCCACAGCAGTGACGGCACTGAAACTTAACCCCTAGACCACCAGGGAGGCCCTACTTGCACAAGATTTATTCTACTTTCCTTTTTATTTCCTTCACCTCTAGAGAAAAACCTGGATCCTGTTTTCTTCAATAAATTCTTATGCAATCAATCCTCTATGTAACCAATCTCCATTGCGGCTGCCACACCTGGCCCCAAAGGGGTGTTTTCCTCATTCACTCAGGCTCCCCTGCCCTGTGTGTCTGCTTGCACACTCTACCTCCATCCATCCCCTGATCAGGACTAGACACCACATGTTAGCCTGCCACTGCATAGAAGTCCTTGTCACTCTGCAGCTCTGATACCCTGCACTGGCTACCCCTCTGCTGCAGCCCATCCTCCTTGCGCTCCGATTCTCACACCCCACATAGGGCTGCCCTCCTACCTGGACACCAGCCTTCAGCTTAGTCTCTAATTCCCTGATCTGGGCCATGTGGATCCTGCCCACAAGGGGTGATGCCTCCCTGAGCTTCCCCCACCAAATGGCTTATGGGAACCACTCCAAAAAGGAAGAGAACAAGAGGCAGAAGACCAGGAAGAAGAGTTAGAGAAACTAATTCTTAACAAATATGTATGTAATTTTAAATGTGATAATAAATGTAGGGTCAAATTTTTGATCAGATACAATCCTATTAATTTCAGGTTTATCATTAAAAAGTTTAAAAGACTTGAAAAGCAAAAACTGCTTTTCAATGTCAGGTACACGTAGGTGTTTGAATAATGTTTATTCCAACAAACACTGATTACTAAACAGTTGCTGTGGGGGTGGAGTGGCAGTATCTAGAAAGGAAGGGAGTTGATCAAGGAAGCAGGTAAACCCAGTGCTCAAAAAACTAAAAGTGATTATTTCACTTGATCATTTCAATGATTCTGCAAACATTTTCCGAAGATCAACATGGCCCATTCCCTCATTTTGTTCCACATGAGAGTAACGTTTGAATATTTCCATTTATGTAATATTGCTCCTTTACAAAGATATTTTTCACTTCATATTTCATTGAAACAGCCAAAAAGTTAAGGTGAGTTCCTATGCCTGACTCTATTCCAGTACTCAAACTGCCAGCATGCACTTTACTCAAATCAAGCATTTAGAGTTACCAACTGTGCTTTCTGTGCGTGCAGCCAAACTTTCACAGACTTACTAGTTATCTCAGAAAGACAACTGAGTATTATATATACAAAAACAGGTTTTGAAGTCAGACTGAACAATGCTAAATTTCCTGCTCCACTGCTTAATTATGTGTACTTGGGCAACTACTTTACCTCCTAGTTCCAATTTCCTCATCTGAAAGTCAAGAATAATGAAAGGTAACCCAAAGGGCTATAAACTGCATAGCAATACCCATTGCAGTTGCATGCAGTTGTTATATAGTAAATATGATAAATTATAAGCATTTGAACGTTAAAATCTGACCCAAATGTCTTAGGTTTATAGAACATTAATTTTTAAGATGTTTAAATCTTTTAGATTTTAAAAAGTAGTCAATAAACCTCACAATGTCCCTTAGCAAAGAAAAAATTGCATCTTGTGGAGATCAATACAGAATCTATAAAGTGAAGTGAGGCTGCTTTACAATTTTTAATTCTGACTTAAAATGAGATGCTAATTTCCTGCTTTTTATATGACACATTATCCCATGATTTTAACATAAGTGGATTAGAAAGGACAGGACTTACACTGTACACACACACACACACAGACATTTGCCATATAATAGCATCCCATTTATTTACATTTTTGTTAATTTATTCATGTTTCCTACTTTTTTCTTTTCCTTTGTAAGTAGCCTCTGAAATGTAGATTTAAAACTGACTCCCTAATGCTAAGGGAATAAATATCTACCCACTTTCCAGAGCTTGTCATTTTAAAGCCGTGTTTTTAATGGGATTTTTCTGCTTGTTTGTTACAGTTTAAAAGTACAGGTTTACTAGGAAAAGGAGAAGAAAAGACGGAGGCACCTGCATAGTCACAGGCGGGCAGGAGACTATAGGAGACTACAGCTATGGTTTTCAAGATGCTTAGGATAATGAGATTAAAATCACATGGGAGCTTTTAAATGCCTAATGTCCAGGCTGAATCCCAAGTAAACTAAACCAGAATTTTTTTAGGGAAGACACAACTATCAGTATTTTTTTTAAATAGAGTTCCTGATAATTCCAATAGCCAGGTTGAGAACCAAAGTTCTAGAATGAACCCAAATGCACTGATCCTCAGAACTTCAATATTCTGAGCTGAAAGATGGATGAAAACGGGTCAGATGATTCCAGGAGAGCCCAGTGGGGGGAAATATCTTTAACAACTCTTTATTAAATGGTATGAATGAAAAAGAGATTTGTGACTAAGAAATGCTGCAAAGAACTTTAGAAATTCCAGCAACTCAAAATGTTGCGTCTCTGTTGTTGTAAGTAGGACTTTTAAAGAATACATATGAAAAGTGAATCATTCTTTACTTTCCCATCTTTAAAGCGTATTACCAATAAAAAGTCTACATGCTACCAGCTCATGAAAAATCAACTGCTTTTTGAAATAATTTAAAACAAATTTTTATTTAGTTTTTGTGCTGAAGAACTGGGGTGTAGGCCAGAAGCATGGGGAGTAAGAGGATTCACCAGAGACAGAGGGGGGAGCAGAAAAAGTGGATTTACTGAAATACAATGCCAAGGGGAGTAGCAGGCAAGACAGAAGAGGTATGCTGCGCCATATGGGTTAGGTAGTGCCAGGACTTAACCCTTAGGCCTACAGGTAGGCCCTATGAAAATCAATTTCTACGAATGGGTGCATCCAGTTAGTTACTGATGGCCTATCTGCCAACCTGCGAGGTGGTCTATTATCCTAATTGCCTGCTAACACCTTAAGATTTATAATACGGAACCGTGAATTTGAAAGTAGGTTCAATGGAATACTTGCAACACAAAGAGCAATTATAAACAGGTGAAGCTAAAATGGCCAAGCTGGTGTAGGGTTTGGAAACACTTTTGCACATAATTCCCTTTTTCAAAGTGTCATAAGCAACAAAAACAGCAAAAACGATTGTTTTCTGAGACCATTGTGTAAAAGACACACAAACACGCACACTCTGAGGTGCAAGCCTTTGGTTGTTAAGTCGTTGCTATTTCAACCAAGTTCTAAAACAACATCCTCAGAGCCAATCCACCTGCCAGGAAGAGAGGAGGTGACATTAAGCCTTACCATTGACTCAAGTGAAAGGAGCTGGCCAGGGGATGGACTGTGGTTTGCAGAAACCCTGCCACTTCAACAGGAGCCCGCACCCTCACATCCTAGCGCCCTCTTCTTAGGATCACCCAGTCCTATTATTACCCACGTCCCGGTTTCACCGGTCACTGTTCTTTCAGATTCACAAGCTGGAGCTGAAGCACCTCCGACCTCCCAGGTCCCAGGCTCAGCTTAGGTGACCCCAGCGTGGCCAAGGAAAGCAGCGGCCGCCGCTCCCCAAGCGCACCCTCGCCCACATCCCGGGGCCTCTCCCCAACATCCCGTGGCCGGGGTGGCCCGCGGGGACCGAGCTGCGCGCGCCCCGGCCTGCGCGCCCCCCGCCCCGCACCCCTCACACCTGAGGGAGGGTCGTCCGCCCAGCTCAGGGGCGCCGCGAAGGCGACGAGGCACAGCAGCAGCAGCAGCAGAGGGGGTGGAGACGCCCGCGGACCCCGCAAGCCGGCGCGGGCGCGCATGGTGTGGACGGTCCTCCGCGATGCTCCCCAGGCGGGTCCCACGGCGCCCCGCCGTCGGTGTCCAGGTCCCCGCGCCCTCTCGCCGGCTCCGGGCGCCCGCTGCCAGTCCCGAGGGCACACACGCGAGAGAAGACGGGGTGGGAGGGGCCCGGCCGCCTTGCCCTCCTCCCCGGAGACGCGCCCTAGGCCGACCCAGAACTGCACCCGGCCCCCCTCCCGCCGCGCCATCAATTATGCAGCGCGCGGCCGGCCCCCGAAGCGCCCGGATCTGCCGCGGCCGCCTCCGCTACGCATCCTCCCGCCTCCACCCTCCCGGCTCCATCAGCACCCGGAGGGCGCTCGGCCTGGCGCCGGCAGGTGCGGTCTAGCCCGTCTCCCGCGGGAGAGGTGAAGTCGCCGACTGTCCTGCACAGGTATCTGCAGGATTCACTGGTTTGGTTGGATGGGACGGGGAGAGGACACTCTTCTGCTCCCCCCGGGCCTCCCTGGGCATCCTGAGCAAGGAGCCTGACGTTTGCGCTCGTGCATGGCGCTGGCCACACGCCCCGCGCCCTGGACTCCTCTTTCTGTGCTCGGCTTCCAGCTGCACACGCGCGCTCTCCTCCTGTCTCTGAAGGCTTAACCGGTTCTCTCCAGATTGAGGTTGCAGAGTCCCAAGGCCCCACTAGGTGTTTTCCTTTTCCTTTTGTTTGCTTGCCTAACAGTTTTTGAGGAGCCACCTAGAGCTCAAGAAACAAAGCTGCTGAAAGGAGATACTGTGTAAACTGCACAAACCTGTTGACCTTGGTCAAACTTGAGCATTGTTTAAGAGAATGCTGTAGCTGAGCCCCCAAACTGGGCATTCTCAGAGATCCTCGTCAAATAAATAAAACAACTGAAAGCAATTGCTTTATCAAAGAGGGAAGGAAGAGTCTGGGTTACAACAGAGTAATAAGAGCAGGATGCTCTAGGATGCTATAATACAGTGAAAGACTTTTTGAAGTATTTCTCATGAGCTTTTTTCTCGTCTCCCTTTGTTTTTCTTATGTAAAATTTGATATTCATAAACTCTAAAGATTATCAGTATCCAGAAAAGAATATGAAAAGGAAATGTCAGATACAATTTTTAAAACTTGAAGTACTAACCAAGAGCTATGCTCAGTACAAGCAGGAACGATTAATTTTGAATGGGTATGTATTACTAAAATATTGCTCTGGTTTAGCATATATAATAAGCAACGCTTTGAAACAGTGAGCATTATTTAAACAGGTGTGGAGAGAATGAGTAATACAATTCATTGAGCAATTTTAAGTATTTACCTGTGCCAGGCCCTAAGTTCAAAATAGGCTGCATGGGTGGCAAGGAACACACACACAGACACACACATTTACACACACATTAATTTAGAAAACTTTATGAACGACAAATCTAGAGAAAGACTCTTCTCAGTAAGAAAATTAAGATTATAATGGTTAAGCCCTCTGAAGAAAGCTTTATGAGAGATACTAACAGACTGAAATTTTTGCATCACGACTCTCTAAAACCTTGGCTGGACTTTCTAAACCCAGTTGCTAAATCATACTTCTGCCTTGCTACCTTAATTTTAACAGCAAGCACTTCTCTAAACAAACTGAACTCTCACTGACCTTCCCCAATTAGCTCTGTAAAAATCTTAAGTTCAGATTCACCTTACTTCAGACCTCATTTAAAGAAAAATTGTCTTCCTAGTTGAATCAGCCTGTTTGTAAACAGGAAAAAAATGAGTAGCCCAAGCTGAGGCTACTTTCTACTGTTGCTTTTGTTGTCATAGCAAAACCAACTGAGAAAGAAATACAATTTTGTTTTGTTGAACATTTAAGTAGCTTTTCTCAATGTTACAGATTTGTATTTAGACATTTGTTTTGTTATTCCCCCCGCAGACTTTTTGAAATAGTGCATATTTTTAAAAACTAGCTTATGTACTACTTTCCGTGACCAGCTCTTTCTGAGCTTCCTGCTTCAATAGACCTTCCCCAGCAGGGAGAAATAAATGTGGCCACAAAGGCTGTTATACTCTGATCACGAGGAGAGTTGTGGAGGTAGGAGGGCCTGGGTTTTCTCTCCTCCAGTTGGGTGTGTTCTCTGACGCACTGAATATTGTAGGATACTGTGTGAGCTTCCAGATGCGGATCACAAGAGCTTCTGCCACCTTTCTCCTTGCTGTTACAAGACATGCCAGGAAAGCAGTGCCTTGCCGTGAGGTGCGTCTGAGACCTTCTGAGAAGCTCCAACCACGTGGAGGGTAGGCAAGGACAAGATAAGGACAGAGAGTATCTGAGGAGCAATAAGAGGCTAGACTTGTGAGGGACCCTTCAAACGAGGTCACCCACAGCTGAGTAATGCATGATTGTCCCAGTTGACCTTCATAAAGCAAAATAATTATCTAGCTGAGCCCTGCTGGAACTTCTTATTCACACAGATATGATAGTATAATTGTTATTGTTTTACGCCACTAAATTTTGAGGTAACTTGTGTCACCACAGTAAATAATCGGAATCCTCTGAACTCATACTGTCCGTGGGACTAATGTGACCATTAATAATTTACAGACTTGTGACTTGGCCATCATCATTGGCTTGAATTTCCATTTAAATATTTTATTGTTCGGCCTCCCTGCTGGTGCAGCAGGTTGAGTGAAGTGCTGTGAAGGTGTCCACAGCCTCTGCACCGCAAGTTCAATCCTCAGCCGGCCAGGGAGCAACCCACATGGCGCAGCAGACCTCTCCTGTCTTGCCCGCTGCTCCCCTCAGCAGTGTATTTCAGTCAGTCTGCCTGTTCTGTTCCCCACTCTATCTCTGGTGAATCCTCTCACCACCTGCAACTCTGGCGTATACCCCAGTTCTTGTATGTAAAAATATATCTTTTTAAAAAATTTTATTGTAATTCATCTTATGTGATTATATCTTTTTACCCAACCATATTACAGTTCTTTTAACAACCTGGAAATAGTTCTGTGAGTCTTTATATTTCCTGCAATGTCTTTAAAAAATTGTACTTTTAATATGTTTTTTACTTATTAGAATAGCAGTACAGGGGAAACTGCTTTCTAAAACTTGTGTTTGTAAAATAATACTATAAAAATCTTTATTTTTTTTTTCCTTTTGGGCTATAAGCTGTCATCAAATGAAAAATGTGTGACACAGTTCTAGGGAACTGTGAAATGAGAACAAGAATGTAGATGCCGGGCCTCCCCGGCGGCGCAGCGGTTGAGCGCTGGGTTGTGAAGCTGCCCGCGGCCTCTGCGGCACCGGTTCGATCCCCGGCTTCTCCCCGGCCACTGGAGGAGGGTCCCACATGGTGCGCAGACCTCTCCTGCCGCCCACTGCTCCCCTCAGCAGTGTACTTAGGTCCTTCTGCCTGCTCTGCTCCCCGCTCTGGCTCTGGTGAATTCTCTTACCCTCCCGCGCTTCTGACTGTACCCGGTGCATGTATAAACAAAAAAACAAGCAAACAAACAAATAAATAAATAAAACATGCCTCTATATAAAAAAAAAAAAAGACTTAAAAAAAAAAAGAATGTAGATGCCACTTACCTCTTATTGAAAATATTATTTGATTAAAAAAATTACTGGAGAAAAGCATTATGTCAGTGTATAAAGTACTAAAAAATAAAGGTGAGAATTTGCTAATGATCACTAATGAAAAAAAAAAAAAAAAACACCCAGAAATACAAATGCAAGTCATAGGATGTAATAGGCAAAATTCTGCAGTGACTCTGCAGTGACTCCCAAGGTTCCTGGCCCCCTAGTCACACACCCCAGTTCCCCTTGAATGTGAATGGGGGGCTCATGAATATGATGGGTAGTCACTACCCTGATTATGTTATCCAATTTAGCAGGTTGGAGGGAGACATTTCTAGTGAGAAAGATGCCCTCATACTTGTCTGGAAGATGCAAATAGCCACATTAACTAACTGCCCATGGGATGAGGCACCTTCAGGAGCTGAGCGCCTCAGTCTTACAACCCAAAGGAATTGAATTCCGCCAGCAACCAGGGAGCTGGAGAGAACCCAAAGCCTCAGATGTCTGAGTCTCAGCCCCAACCAACAGCTTTAGCCCCAACCAACCAAACTGATGAGACCCTGAGCAGAGAACCCAGTTAAGCCATGGAGTTCTTACTGAACTTCTGACCCATGGAATCTATGAGATCATGTATTTGTGTTAAACTAAGCATGTGTTGATTTGTCATAGAGTAATGGAAAAGTAATCCCATCAGATGTGATTGTAGTTATATTGTACAAAAATCTATTTTAGAACAAGATCAGAAGCATATATGGAAGGAAAAATTTCTTTGTCATCTCTGTATGTGAAAATGGATGAAAAGTGTCAGAGTTATTCTGGAAGATATATCTCTGTGTGTCTGTGTCTATAGTTGTGTGTGTATATGTACATACTTGTATGTATGTCCATACTATATTTGTATATAGGCAATATATGTATATATAAACATGTGTGGTTATATACATAGATATATACATACACCACACACATATATAGCCATGTGTCACTTAGCAACAGGGATGCATTCTGAGAAATGCACTGTTAGAGACTTTTGTCACTGTGGCTCATAGAGTCATAGAGTGCAATTTTACAGACCTAGATGTAAAGCCTACTACATACCTAGGATATATAAATAAGGACCACCATCCCATATGAAGTCTGTTGTTGACTAAAATGTTATTATGCAGTAAGTACATCACTACATAGATGATGATGATAAAGTTAGGATGATAGATACATAGATAGATACATCGACAGATATACAGGTAGAGAGAAATACTAAATTATTTAAGCAATGTATGGAGTTTAAGTCTACCACTTCCCAGGGGATAAATCATAAATGAGACTAAACCAATGCTGTAATTTCATCTTCCTTAGCATTGGTGTATCTAAGATGGAACTTAGCCAATGAGATAAAAGAACAAATCTGCTTTAAAGTGTTTCCTTCATCAAAAAAAGAAAAAGTCTCAGATAGAGAAAGCTTTTTACCCCACCCTTTACCTCTTTCTTTCTCCCTTAAATGCAGCCTGAGACGTGGATCAGTGGTGGCAAAGATGCGTTCATTTGGAGACAAGCAGACATTTCCAAGAGCAGCAAAAAAGAAAGGTGACATCCCTGAGCTGATACACCAGCCCTGAGATGCCTGGATCCCAACCTATGTAAAACAACTGCTAGTTACAGTCCTATTCTTGGGGCTTTTAGTTATTGGTGGTTGGGAGCACTCT